CCTATCAGGCAGGTGCTGCTCACGAACGTCCCAACAGAAGATCCACCCTCTATACATCCAGAGGTGTGAACCTTCTATACACGAGGCCGGGAGAGTACCCTCGTCCAGGTGACGCTTATATGACACCCAATTGAACTGTAAACAAATAATAATAATATTATTAAGTTATAGAAAAATAAAAAAACTCAAAACAAATATATATAATAATCAATATTACTTAATCAAAATCTTACATCATTCTATGTCAGTCACGTTAATTGATCTCGGATAGCGGCTGTTCCCTTTCCGATGTGTTTCATATTCCTCCGTCTCACCCACCTTAAAAATCAAATAATAAAAAAAAAAAATTAATCACAAAATTTTATAGTTAAAATATTTTAAGTATTAAATATAAATAAATGTGATTACCTTGCTCCTAAGGGACAACCCTGGACTCTGTCAAAGTTGGTATCCCTCATTTTTGGGCTAATACGAGGGATACGTTCCCATGCCCAAACCTACAGATATCGACATAAATATTTGGTTAATATATATTAGGATAAAGTATAATAACAAATGAATGAAGTAATAACAAGTAAGTACATTTATTTACCTGAATCAATTGAACACAGTTCTTGATCCAGATTTCCCCAGCTCTGGCGGTCAAGGTGAGCCCTCTATAGACCCCGGCCAGGACAGCTGAACCCCAGTTGTACTGCTTGATCTCATCGATCTCGAGCAAGGGCAGCATCCAGTACAACATGACCCCATTCGCCCTATGATCGGGGAAGAAAAATGACCCGATACACCAGAGTATAAGTGCCCTCGCCCTCTCTTCGTAGCGACTGGGATGCTCTTCATTTGTTAGCGGTCTATAGCACTCCTTTTCAATTGCCGAGGTCTTCAAAAACTGGCCTGTAAGTTCCGGGGTGCCCTCCGGGTCGTCATCAGCCTGAGAGTGTTATATATATATATATATTGAAAATTAATGAATGGAATAAACAAAAAAAAATGTAGGAAAAAAATTACCTTGACTGAGGGCTCGAACCCTAGATAATCGACACAGTGTTCTTGCCATTCGTGGGGTTCGTGGTCAATTGTTTGTCCCCAACACGGTGTTCCATCGACCAAGAGACCAAAAAGGACTTGTACGTCCTGCAGCGTTATTGTAGCCTCCCCGAAGTCAAAGTGGAAGGTTTTCGTCTCCGGACGCCACCTCTCCACTAGACATGTAATCAAGCTGTTTTCCGTCGATATTCGGCCCATTCTGAAAAGCGGCCCGAAACCGGTCCTTTCGATCACCTCCCATACTTTGTAATGCTGTACCTCCAACGCCTTCCAAAACTGAGTGTCGAAACGGCGGGTTTTAACCGCGCCGTGACGATATCCCTCTACATCGTTGTATACAGCTTCAGACCGGTGGTTGTCCTAAAGGTAAAGAAGGGACCGATCCATCGGACCGGGATGGACGGTGTAGCGCTGCGGCTGTGAGGAAGATGCCATTTTCTACAAAAATAAAAAGAAAGCTTAATTTAGAACAAAATAAAAAAATAGACGAAACATCAAACAATTATGTACAACAATCGAAACGAACCGTTTCGATCAAAAACAGGGCTAACATAATCGAAACGAACCGTTCAAATCATCCAACTACAAGCAATTATGTACAACAATCCATTTGAGGCATTTTATCGAACACCTTCAATTCATAGTTTTCCAAACAAACTACAAAACTCTAATCAATTTCAAAATAACCCATCAAATTATCACACAAACATATCAACAATTCATCAACAAATCTCAATCATTACAAATTCACAAATTAAATATCAAAACAAATGAAAAATAAAAAAAAAATTGTTAACCCTAACATCATGTTTTTGCTACAAACACACCATCTATATCTCAATTCATCCTTCAAATCGTGAAAATAGACGAAAAATGACAAGAAATGATACC